GCGACCGCGGGTGGCGCGAAGCCTTAGCCGGTTTTTAGCACCAGAACTAGCGATCGGAACGGGCAGGGCGGGCCGGGGCTGGGTGGCCGGTCGGGGGGACGTGGAGGGAGATGTCCGCGCCGAAGGCTCGGATGGGAGAGCGCGGAGTTCCCACCGTTCCCCCCCAGAACCGCCGGAGCGAGACGTGCCAGCTGGGCTGGCCGGGAATGGGTGCCTTTGGACCGCAGCGCCGGGGAGCGTCGGAGAAATGAGAAAATAAGATGGGGAGGCATCGGCGGGGGGGGGGGGGGGGGGGGCACACACAGCTGCTTCTTACTAGAGGGGTACAGAGACGGGGGTCCTGGGAGCCCCTGGTACGGAGGCGAACTGGCACGGGGTTGGGAATGGGAAGGAGAAGGGATGACATGGGGAGCTGGCAGGCAGCGCCGGCGGCTTTCTCAAATCCATCAGCGGGTGAGGAAGGGGAAAAACAAAACCTTGCTCAAAAAAAAAAAACCAAACCAGAAATACTCACCTCAGGCAGAGTAAACTCCAAGTCGCAGCCATGGAGAACTCCTCGCCACGTCTTTTACATAATTATCTCGGATAATCACCCCTCTTCGCGAACTCAGTCTGTCTCCCCCCTGGGCGCAGGCTTCTCTGGCCCCTTTTCTTGTTCTTTCTCTTGGAGTCTCAAGGCCTCTTGTCCAAAATCCTTTCAAACCTCTCCCCAGACTCCCTGAAGGTCAGATGGCCGCACAAAGTGTGTGTTCGGCCCCCCCACCTCCAGCAGCCGGCCCCGCAGGGATGCCGCCCCCGAAATGTTGGAGGATCTGGCCAGTGCGCTGCTGGCTCTCAGAGGGATGAGGGAAAAGGAAATGGGTTGAAAGTTCTCAGACTCCTGCTCCGATCCGTCGCTGCATTTCAAGTCTTCGGTATTCCAGCCCACCACTGCCACTTTTTTTTTAAGGGCATTTCTGTCAACAATTAAACATAAAATCGGTGGCCACCCGAAAAATCTAAATGATTTGAAACTCGGGCATTCAGATGGCATTATTTGAAAAATCAACAGAATCCATTTTCCTTTAGCTTCTTAAAGACAGACGAGTTCAAAGGCACGGACTCATGATTACCCGGGGCAGGAGGGGCCTTGGCTTTTGAACCCCCTGTCGTTGGTGGAAAAATAATTATAGTTTGGGTCTGCACTGCGCCTTTGTTTTCAAGCACTTTGCATTTGAGTCTCATAGCAACCCTGTCATATAAAGTAAGGCAACATGGTTAAAAAAGAACATTCTTTTCTTTTTCTGCCACAGCCTATTCTCGATGGACTAGATAAAGAGATGCATGTTAAACACGGGTCAGATAAAGTTCCTTGTCCTATCCAAACTCTGCACAAGCTCTCCATTCTCTTGGAACCTGAACCTGACCTCCTCCTCCTCCCATGGCCAGCAAGGCCCTAGACGCCTGGCCCTTGGTCTCCCTGACCTCATCTGTTACTCTCCCCCCTGGACCTCACCACCAAAGCCCTGGCCACACTGGACTCCTTGCTGTTCTTCAAACTCTACAACTATCCTCCCACCTTGGCTCTTCGCAGAGGCTGTTCCCTCATCCTGGAATGCCCTTCCCTCACATATTTGCATGGCAAGCTCCTTTATAAGGTGTTTGTGTAAATATCACTTACAAAAAGCCACCTCTGAAAGACCCATTTAAAATTGCAGGGCCCCTACAGTCTGGACTTCAAAGCCCCATTTTGTTTTTTTCCCCCTTGATTCATAGCACTTATCAGCCAATAGTGCATCTCATCATTTTTTTATGTCTATTGTTTCTGGTCTGAACCTTCTGCTGGGATAAAAGCTCCACAAGAGCAGGGAGGTTTGGGGTTTTCTTTTGTTTGTTTTTTGTTTTTTGGTTTTTTTTACTGGTGGATCCCAACTGCCTAGAACAGTTCCGTGGATGTAGAAGTCACTTAATAAACATTTGTTGAAGGAATGAATGTTATGCTCATTAGATTCACAGCCAAACCAATGCTGGCCAAGCATCCCCAGTGGGTACTGTTCCCTCTCTGACTTCATGGCTGATGTCTGTCCATCTCCCCACCACTCACTCCTCCATCCATCCCAGCATGCTTCCGCCTCCTTTGGGTTGCTAATGATGGCAATGAAGGTGCTCTCATAGCCCTGATTATTCCCCTTGGGCCTTTCACACATTCCTTCATTTCTTAGTCAACGTCAGGCAGCACAAGCCCAGCTCCTGATCAGGAAAGGGGCTAAAGCAATGCCTTTGAAGAAAGTATTCGAAAAAAGTGCTTCCTTCAAAGAACAGAACAGTTGGGTTGCCCTTTTTAAAAAGATAACCCCATTATTAAGAATTGTCCTAGATACTAAGTAGTTATTCAACAGTGAAAGTGACAGGAAATAGACATCATGTTTACTTGTAGAGAAAGAGAGTCTCCCTTTAAGACATCTGGTCTACCTGGAACAGTTTGCTCACTCTCCACAGCCTAAGAGCCAACGGGGAAAACCACTCGCTTCTCCAGGTCTTCTTCATACTCCTGTGATTGATTGATTATCGAGTATGTTTTCTAATTGATTGGTATCTTTTTCTAAAGCAAAGAGATTCTCACCCTCCTCCTTTGTATTGTATTAAGGTAAGATAATCTGCCTGGCAGGCATGGCTCAGTGGTTGAGCGTTGACCTCTGAACCAGGAGATCACAGTTGGATTCCTGGTCAGGGCACATGCCCGGGTTGTGGGTGTGGTCCCCAGTTTGGGGCATGCAGGAGGCAGCGGATCAATGATTCTCTCTCATCATTGATGTTTCTCCTTTCCTCTCTGAAAACAATAAAAAAAATATTTTTTATATATTTTATTGATTTTTTACAGAGAGGAAGGGAGAGGGATAGAGAGTTAGAAACATCGATGAGAGAGAACCACCGATCAGCTGCCTCCTGCACACCCCCTACTGGGGATGTGCCCGCAACCAAGGTACATGCCCTTGACTGGAATCGAACCTGGGACCCTCCAGTCCACAGGCCGACGCTCTATCCACTGAGCCAAACCGGTTAGGGCTAAAAATATATTTTAATAAAGAAAAGGAGCCAGCTTTATTTTTTAAAAAAAGAATGAATCTGTTCCCCTGAAACATGCTCACACATCCAGTTTACACCTTCAGGCCCCCCTGGGCAGACAGGCAAGGATTTGAGAGCTGGTTTCTCAGCTCTGTCCCTCTCCGAGCCAGGTGTGTGCAGCAGAGGTGGGGAGCGGTTTCTTTGTCCAGCATGAAACCGATCTGCCTAAAACAAACAAAAACCAATGAGAGGCATCTGAGCACATCCATGATTTTCTCAGGTTTCATCTTCAGTCTGGAGCCTTTCTAAGGCCCCTTGTAGATCTCGTAGAGATTTATGCATTGGAAACTGGATTCCTCGGTCTTAAAAAGCTGTTTAATGAGCTTTACGTGAATCCAAGTGACATTTGGTCATTTCGAAAAGCCAAACACACTTTCAAACACTGTTGAATATATTCATGCATAGGAGACTCAAAGGCATCAGCTCCAAGGCAAATCATTTCACTTATGAGACTCAGTTTCCCCACCTATAACATGGAAATGAGAACACCTGTAGCTAAACTAGAATTATCCTAGATACTAAATAGTTACTGGACAGTGAAAGTGACAGGAAATAGACATCATGTTTACTTGTAGAGAAAGAGAGTCTCCCTTTAAGACATCTGGTCTACCTGGAACAGTTTGCTGTTGGGATTCAATTGGTGCCCATTTGTGCGCTACAGTTATACATGGCGCAGATGCCCTGGTGCATGTAAACTGAGGCACGTGGACATAACACCAGAAAGGTTTCCACACCTGTCTTGAGCCTTAGCAGCACTATTAGGAAAAGTTGCAGCCTCTAAAATCACTACTTTGAAGCTGAGAACATTTACTCTTTTTTTAAAAATATATTTTTATTGATCTCAGAGAGGAAGGGAGAGGGAGAGAGAGATAGAAACATCAATGATGAGAGAGAATCATTGATCGCCACCTCCTACGCTTCTACTGGGGATCGATCCCGCAACCCCGGCATGTACCCCAACCAGGAATCGAACCCTGACCTCCTGGTTCCTAAGTTGATGCTCAACCACTGAGCCATGCCGGCCGGGTTGAAAACATTTACTCTGATTGATCAGAGGTGGGTGTTTTACCTAAAAGTCAATCTCATTGTTGCCTGGTTCGTCACCAAAGCCCTAAGCAGCAGGATCCTTGATCTCTGTGAATGTGTCAGGGGAAGGAGGGAGCGGTTTCTTCATCTCTGGCAAGGCTTTGCCTCAAGCGGGTGTCAGGAACCTGCTATTGGGCCAGATGTTCCATACAGGGTGGCAGCTTAGGGTTTCGTTTTTGTTTTTATTGCAAATTACAGGAGACAGAGCCCCATGCACTTCTCAGACGGACTGTAGTATCTTGACCATTGGGTCACAGTCTTAAAAACATGAAAGTGGCGAAATCAGATTTACATTTCGAATGATCACTTTTATTTTTTTTAAATATATTTTTTATTAATTTCAGAGAGGCAGGGAGAGGGAGAGAGAGGGAGAGAGAAACATCAATGATGAGAGAGAATCATTGATCGGCTGCCTCCTGTACGCCCCCTACTGGGGATCGAGCCCACAACCCAGGCATGTGCCCTTGACCGGAATCGAACCCAGGACCCTTCAGTCCGAATGCCGACGCTCTATCCACTGAGCCAAGGGCTTGAGGGCTTGAATGATCATTTAAAAATATATATATTCTTTTTTATTGATTTCAGAGAGGAAGGGAGAGGGAGAGGGAGAGAGAGAGAGAGATACATCATTGATCGGCTGCCTCCTGCACGCCCCCCACTGAGGATCAAGCCCACAACCCAGGCATGTGCCCCAACGGGAATCAAACCGCAACCCCCTGGTTCATAGGTCCATGCGCAACCACTGAGCATGCTGGCCAGGCATGATTTCTCTTTATTTTTAAATCCTCACCCAAGGATATGTTTTTATTGATTTGAGAGAGAGAGAAAGGGGGAGGGAGGGAGGGAGGGAGAGAGGGGGAGAGAGGCATCGATGTGAGAGAGAAACATCAGCCTGCTGCCTCCCCGCATGCACCCTGACTGGATATCGAACCCACAACCAGGGCATGTGCCTTGATTGGGAATCAACCTATGACCTCCTTTTGGTGTATGGGACAATGCTCCAACCAATTGAGCCACGCTGGCCAGGGTGAGACAATGGGATTTTTGAGAAATGAGGTTAAAAAAACAACAACAAAAAACTACTAATAAAAGTAATAAAGGAAGAATTATTTTTATTTCCTTTCTTCCTTCTCTTTTCTTCCTTTCTTTATTTTTTTTAATTTTTTACCTTCTATGCACGTCATCGTATTTTACCTGGGTGGGGGGTGGGACTAGAGATTAGAAGGCAAGGCAAGCTGGTTTTAAAGATACTATTAGTAGTATTAAATAAGGAGATGAATCATGCTACACATTTGTAAGTTTTCACTTTTCTAAATGCTTTTATTCCATTAGTCCTTGAAATAGCCCTGTAAATTAGACAAGAAAGTTATTATTATTCCATTTTAGCTACGACAAAAGGCGAGACCAGAAATGCGCCAAGTGATGACAATAATATCTCCAAAGTATGAGGATTATTATATCATGGGAAGCATTGATTTCTGGAGATAGGTCTAGCAGCAGAAGGGAAATTTTGAAAAAAGATTTGTGGAATAAAAACCGTAGCTGGTTTGGCTCAGCGGGTAGAGCGTCGGCCTGCAGACTTAAAGGGTCCCGGGTTCAATTCTGATCAAGGGCACATGCCTGGGTTGTGG